CTATTTAACTCAATATATCTACATTATTATCATTTCAACATATAATCAATATAAAATATTAACAGGACACTTAACATTCCCTTTTGTTTAAGTCTTCAAAATCTGACACGAATCTTACACTTAACAGCATTTCAATTCACATGATAATTTTCATCTAAAATAACTTGAGCTATTAAGATTCCCTAAAATTTAGTTGAAAAAGCAGATCCTCACACCTAAGCTCTTTGCAACATACTTAAGATTTTCTTACTAGTTGAGAAGGCATCAGCTTTTTGTTTTTGTGCTGAGGATTGAAGCCAGCAGGGCCTTAAGCACATGCTATACCACTGAACAACAGCCTCAGCCGCCAGTTCCAGCCTATAATGAATTAAAGTTAAATGAAATTAAAATCTGTTTTTTTTTTTTTTTTTTTGTTTAGTCAAAGAGTTTAAGTGCTTAATAACCACACGTGGGTGGTTGATACCGTAATGAACAAAGATGGTCTAGAGAAACACGGGAAATACCTGTGTAGGAAGTCAGGCAAAGATTTCCCAGTTCAACCCCCCCCCCCCCCCCATAAGATACTGCCTTCAAAATATACTCTTAAGGGGTAGGAACGTAGCTCTAGTGGTAGAACACTTGTCTGGCATACATGAAACCCTGTGTTCTCTCCTAGTATGGACAGAGGGAGCTGGAATTGTTCCAAATGATACTTTTCTTTTTCTTTCAGTCCTAGGGGTTGAACTCAGTCCTTGTCCTTGCTAGGCTAGTGATCTACGACTTGAGGCAGTCCCCATTCCTTTTTCAGTAGTTATGTGCACAGTCTTGTGGACTTTTCTGCCAGGGCTGGAACGTGAAACACCTATTCTCAGCCTCACATATAGCTTGGGATGTCAGGCCTGTGCCACTGTGCCCAGCTATAAATAGAGAAAGGGTTTTAAGAACTTTTCTGCCAAGGCTGGCCTTGAACTGCCTCTTCTCATTCTGTTTCCCAAGTAGCTAGGATTACAAGGTATAAGCCATAGGCACCAGGCTTCAGTTTCTTAAGAAAGTAAAACATTACCAATAGATTGGAATATTTATCAGACACACATGTGATAAAGAAAATAAAGAACTCAAACACAAACAATACAATAAAGACAAGCAAAATATTGGAATAGGCACAAACAGAAGATAACATATTGGAATTGATCATCAGCAATAACCCCTATAGATAGATATTAAAACCACAGCAAGACATTATATCCTTATTAACAGGGTAAAAATTAAAAAGACTAACAGGAAATGCTGGCAATACATTGCCAGAGTAATATTTTAGATTCATCCTTGTTGAGTCTGAGTAATATTTTAGATTCATCCTTGTTGAGTCTATCAGTACTTCATTCCTTTATTTCACTGTATGGAATTTGCTACTGCACTCACAAAGGGACATACACTTGGGTTGTTTCTAATTTCTTATTATGAATAAGGCTGCTGTAAATATTTACACACAGGTTTTGAAGGGCAGTACAATTCTATTTCCCTTGGGTACTTTAAAAAAGGGGATTGTTGGAGATATATGATAAATATCTTTAACTTTTATAAGAAGCTACCAAGCTACCTTCCAAAGTGGGAAATTATTTTTGGCTTACAGAAATCAGGGTAAGTTTTATTATTGGGCTGTGTGCCACAGCATCCACTAGTTCACCTGACCCGTCTCTAAAGTAGTAATGTAAAAAAATGTTACTGATATATATTAAATTATATATAGCAAAAGAATTGTGCCTAATGTGGCATTAGTCTGAATAAAAGTCTAAGTTCTTTATGTCTCAGATTTCTCAACTGAGAAATGAGAATCTACTAGATCATTATTTTTTGCCAGGCCTGGGGCCTGAACTCTGGGTCTGGGCGCTGTCCCTGAGCTGCTTTTGCTCAAGGTGAACGCTCTACCACTTGAGCCACAGCAATGTATCTGGTTTTCTAGTGGTTTATTGGAGGTAAGAGTCTCACAGACTTTCCTGCCCGGGCTGGCTTTGAACCACAATCCTCAGATCTCAGCCTCCTGAGTCGTTATAATTACAGACATGAGTCACTGGCACCTGGTTCAACTAGATTATAACCCATCCTCAAGGCATGTCTACACCACTATGGTCTTTTATATCTGACTTTCTGAAAATATAAGAATGTAAATAATGAACACGCTAGAAGGAATCAGGTCACCTAGTCCAAACAGGGAACTTAAAAAAAATAAAAACAAAAACAAGAAACAATTCTTCCAGATTTTCTCTGCCCAAGAACATGTACAATATGTAAGCTGCCAACAGTGAAGATGGCTTATTAAGGGACACTCTGTTCCCTAACAGACAGTACTGAATTTCTGGTGGGACAAGATTCTCTCCTGAGAACCCCTGCCTTCTATCATACCACCCTCAATCTTTGGCTTCTACTGTGCCACACTTCCCCTATTTGGAACTATTACTACTTTTGTTAAAAAAAGTAGTAGCCAGGCTGTCCACATTCAAATACTTCTATAAATATATTTCAATTCTGTTTTAATCTTTCACTTTGTATCTTGATTTTATCTTGCAGAAGTCGTTAAATGTGTCAATCATACTCACTGTAAAACTGACATACTGGGGAAAGTAAGAGATATTTTTCTATTTGTGCAGAAATGCTGCAGCATGCGTGGTGAACACAGGGAAGCCTCTTTCTGGCTGCAGAGTGACTAGCTATCACTCACAGCTAAGCAAATGACACTCAAGGGTGTTCTGCATGCTTAACCTGTCCTGTGTCTTGGATCTCCACAAAAATAAGTCATGAAGGAGAGGGAGGTTTGGGGGAGAAGAGAGGGATGGAAGGAGGGAGATCATATAAAGCAGTTCCCTTCCTCCCTACCAGAAGCTTAGAAAGGGTGGAAATGTAGACAGTAAACAAGGGTGAGGGAAGGAAGACATGTAGAGGTTGGCTTAGAAGCCCACATTGTTGACTGTTTGGCATGAGTACTTAACAAATATGAAAAAATAATTATAGTAACTAAGAAAAAAGTTCCCAGAGATATGCACATGACTCTTGTTTATGTAAAACCAAACCCATATTTATGCCTTCACTAACAGGCTTTTGTAAGACTGTAAGTACATATACCAAACTGGTGATATTGGTTATTCTGGGAGAAAGGGTCACTGATCATTTTTGGACTAATGAATGCTTAAAATACAGAGTCTTCTACTAGCAAACATTTAAAAACAAAAAGTTATACAAATTGCTGAAGATGTGCAATAACGACCAAATGCAAGAGAGAAGAAAAATTGTTAGGCAGGCATAGTAGTGCATGCTTGTAATCCCAACACCTGAGGCAGGAGGCTCATGAGTATGAAGAAAGCCTGGGATATGCTGTCTCAAAAACTGAGAAGAATGAGAAGAGGAAGGAAGGGGAGCAGGCAGTGGAGTGGAGGAGGAAATAAAATGGTGGAACTAGAGGATCAGAATCAACAAGGAGCAGGAATGTATTCTACGTGTTATGGTCTGGATATTCATATTTAAGGCTCAACTTCTAATACAACAGTGTTTAGAGGTAAGGCTTTGTGGGAGTGACTGAATCCTGAGGTCTCTCTACTTTCATTCATGGGTTAATTCAGATTCAAAATTGGATTATGGGGAGGTGGTGAAAATAGGAGACTTGGCTTCATTAGAGGAAGTAGTATATTTCCCAGCCTGGAAATATAGGTATATACTTTGTCCTCAGTTCCTTTTTGTCTCTGCTTCCTAGCTGCTATAAGGTGAGCAGCCTCGGCTACAAACATCCACTGCCATGATATTCTGCCATGGTTTAGACCCAAAGCAATGGATCCAGTTGGTCTGGGATTGAAATGTCTGAAATAGTGAGCCAAAGTAGATCTTTTCTCCTTTTGAACTGTTTCAGGGGTCTATCACAGCGACAAAAAACTGACTAGCATAGTATGTTAGAAACAATGCTGTCTTTTTTCCCCCCTTAAGTCATAGAAAAATGTATTATTTAAGGTCCAGAGAAATCTAGACATCAAAGTCAATCATAAAGCAGAATGCACAGATATCATGGTTACACATTTGTGAAGAAAATTACTGACAGGGTTACTCAAGTCACTTTTTGGGGGAGCAGAGGAAATACTGATACTTACTGCTGAGTTCTTTTTTTTTTTTTGAGATAGGGTCTCACTTCCTCCCTGAGTATGTTCCTGGCATAATCTACTTAATGGTAGGCTTCTCCATAGTTGTCCTTAAACAACAATCTCATCAATCTCAGACTCCCAAGTAGAGAAGTTTACAGGCATGAGCAATCAGCACCCAGATTCAGTAGACTTCCTGTGTGAACCAAAGTGCTCTACTAGGAAGCCAATGCCTAATGTAATGTGGATCAGCAAGGAGAAGTGTAGGTCTAATTTCAGCTTTCACACAAATATGCTCCTAGATGGATGGGAAAGCTAGTACTACTGGTATCATGGAAATGGACCTGCAGCTACTCTTAAGAAAAAAGTTTCTACAAACTAACATGGAGTACTTAATTGATGCTGGGTTCTTCACATGCATTTATGAGGGGATAATAATCAAGATGAATGACAATGTCTTAGAGTCTAGAAAAGGCTTTTCAACAGAAGAACATTTGATTAGTCACAGCAGTAATAAGTCAGGGGTCAATGAAGGAAAGGGCCTTCATTTCCTCTGGGACTGGTAGGCATCTGGTGAATGAAGCAGCAGCAAGTGCGGATTCCAAAGGAGAAGGGCCACAAGGTGGGACTTGCTACATTCTGAGCTTCAGTCTGCCTTGGTCAGAATAAGTCAATTCCAAAACCAGAGAAAATATCTGACATAATCTTTGAGCAGAAAAAACACCAAAGTATAATCCTAATGTCACGATTCTGGAAGAAAATACTAATAGATCTGGTCATTTATACTAATAATTTTTATATGGCAAAAATTACTTAAACTCGAGGTTGTCTGTGCCCAGGAAGGCTGTGCTCTGGCATGGCAGCACAGACTTCCTCACGGGGTCAGGGGAGGAGGACTGTATTAGCTGAAAGTCACCCCCAGCTTCGGGTGGGATTCGGCACCCACAGTGTCCAGGGCACTAAGCTGACTGCCCACTGCTAGTGTGGGACCATGAAAGCCAGGCTCTGACAGCAAAAAAAAAAAAAAGGAAAAAATGGATTATTTAAGGCTACATGAGAAAATTATAAAGCCAAGAAAAAAAGCTGACATCATTCATTGCTTTAGAAAATGAGCCCTAACAAAAAGACATTGATTCCATCAAAATAATTGGGCAAACTCCACAAAATATGTAATTCATAAATCCTAAAGAGTAAAAACTACATAAGAAAGACGTAGTAGGACAGAATTCTAGTAGATATAAAAACACAAAGTAAGTCTATATTGGGACAAAATGTTCAGTCTGTAAACAAAGAATTTTATTTATTTAGTTAGTTGGTCGTGGGGCTTGAACTCTAGGCTTGGGTATTGTCCCTGAGCGCTTCAGCTCAAGGCTAGTGCTCCACTACTTGAGCCACAGCACCACTTCTGGTTTTCTGGTGGTTAATTGGAGATGAGTCTCACAGACTTTCCTGGCTGGGCTGGGCTGGGCTGGACTGAACTGTGATCCTCAGATCTCAGCCTCCTGAGTAGTTAGGATTATAGGCATGAGCTACTGGTGCCTGCTTAACTTTAGGCAAAAAAAGATATTCCAAATGAAAAAAAAAAACTGTCTCCTATTATCTATATTTATCTTTTTATCTGATTATTACCTAAGCTAAGGATATAGTCAAGGCCAACTGGAATAGCCTGTATTTTTTGTCTCATTTGCTACCAGATGTAGCCATGTAAGTAAATTTTGGCCAAGAAGAGACAAATGAAAAGTGGAGTTTACATTTCTGAGAACATACCAAATGGAGTAGACACACCTTTGTCTCTTCCTTCTTCCCACTGGCTAGAATAGGGGTGTGATGGCCCTGGCTGGTAATGCCTGAGCTGGTAAAGTCACTCTATAACACGAAGACAAAGCCATAGGGTGCAGTCGATGGAGTAACAAGCTAGCAGGAAAGCCGAGACCTGCCACATGAGCCCTGGGCTACTTATCTCCATACTTCATTAACGATAGACCCAAACAGCAATCATGTTTTATTCACCACTGCGTTCAGCTGTTGTTCAGAGTGGAACCTATGCTTAAATGGTTATTTTTTTTCTGCTTTTGGGTGACTCACACAGGTTTTTGGTGCTATACCCACCCTAACACATTCTATGTTAAACACTTAAACTGTGGACTACGGGGCAACTTTTATTTTCTTTATATTTCTCAATTATTGCCTCATTCATTAATCCTGTAATTATTTTTGAGAAAAGCTCTATAAAAACTGAAGTTAAAGAACTGTTTTCTTTAAGTTTGTCCCTTGGAAAAACAACATAGTCAGGTGGATATTTTTGGGAAAAGAAACCACATTGCCTTTGCCTGTCACCTCTATGAGTACAGAAGTAGGTTTTCACAGGTTGAATTTCTCAGGGTCTCCTGAGGAGCCCAAAATAAAGATGGTAATTTAAATGGCAGTTCGCTGGTCCTTACTCTGATGCCGTTCAAACATTAAGTCAAGCAACTGTGCATTCAAATGTAACATTCTAGCTTTCTGTCCCAATATACTTATAGTTAGCAAGTTTCAATCCACACATCTTTCAGAAGTTATTATCATACATATAATGAAACTTTTGACATTATGAATGAATTTAGAGAAGGTTATTGAGAAAAATGTATCTCTTTTTGTATACACTGCTACAAAGCACTACACTGCTACAAAGCACTACTAAGCAAAAATAAAATATACTTGCAGATCACTAGGGAAACAGAAAATTTTGCTTTTAAAATCCTTTTTAGTTATCTGTTCTTTCTTCCCAGAGTAAGACAGAACCCTACTCTTCAGGTATAATTATTAGCCAAATTAATTTTTCCAGGGATAGGGAGGGTTCTCAGAGGGTTGTACTCAGGTTCTGATGCATACTAGGCAAATGCGGACCACTGAGCTACATCCCTGGCCCATAAAGTACTTTTTAAGTCCAGCACAGATTTTTCTTTCTTGACGAAACAGTGATTCTCCTATTCGAATTCATCCATATAAATTCCCTTAATCTTACATGAGTCACTATGGCTTTTAGCATAGTCTATCATTAAAAGGAGATACAGTCAATCACATACTAGCTTATAAACATACTACTCTACATTTGGCATATGGACTGAGAAGCAGTGACTTGCTCATAGGTAGTGTCTGTGTTTTATTCATCTTTAGCATTCCCACAGTAGTGAGGATGAAACAGGCATGTAGTGACATTTATTGAGCTGTATAATCAAACAATGGAATTTTGTATTGCCTCTCTTATCTGTTAGTTATAACTATCAGAGTTGTTTATCAACAACTTCTTCCTATTGAGTCTATGTAATTTGAACAAATAATTTGTTAAAAAAAATAGGCCACCACCTAGAGCTCTGAGCTCCTTTTGTTATTATGGATTTTTTTATTTTTCATGTTTGCATCTGTGGTAATTAAGTTTATTTTAACAGACTGACTCATTTACATTTCTTGGCTTTATCAGGCTTGTCTCTAAAATACAGAGAAACTATTTCTGGCTCTTCTGTTTTTCAAGGAAACTTTGCAATTTCTTTTAAGGTCACAGAGTCCATTATTTCTACGAGTCTGCTATGTACCACCTAAGACTAAGTTATAAAAACCATTGTTTCCTCAACAGTCTGGAAGTGGCTTACAAGTTATAATTAACTGCCTAGGATAAACAATAAAACACAAATAGATCTTCCTCTTAGACAATAACTTGTTGTGGGCTATGTAAAAGAATCTCACCTGGGGCTAGGAAGGTGGCTCAGTGGTAGAGCGCTTGCCTTGCATGCATGAGGCCCTGGGTTCGATTCCTCAGCACCACATAAGCAAAAAGAAAAAAGCCGGAAGTGGCACTATGGCTCAAGTGGTAGAGTGCTAGCCTTAAGCTGAAGAGCTGAGGGACAGTGCCCAGGCCTAGAGTTTGGGCCCCACAACCGGACTCCTCCCCCCCCAAAAAAAAAGAAGTAAAAGAAAAGACGTTCTTTTTTAAAAAAACGCAATGATATATTTAAAAAAAAAAAAAAAACTAGACAACTATCTCTTTAAATTTTGTAAATTTAACCTAATTATAAAAAATATTTTGGTGGGAACTAATGATTCTAAGTTTATATGAAATCCTCAAATCTACAGCCTATATGAAAAAAAATGTTTAGGAACAATCTGGAAGTTTCTGAAGAGAAATGAACAAAGTTTTATAACTTTCTAAAGTATTCCCCAAAGCTATCTAAAGTAAAATAATTTATTCTTGAGCTATTAACAAATCATAAGGAACAGAAGAGAACTCAGAAGGAAATGGAAATAGAAATGCTTTTATAAATACATAAAAAGATGCCTGTATCTCACACATAATAAGAGAAAAATCAAATGAAAACTGTAATAACATTCATTTTTTCACCTTTCAGTGAGAAAAATATAAACTTGATGGTAACACTGCAGTGGTAAGCCGGACGACAACTCCTGGCAGCTGTACTCTGCCCATCACTACAAGACGTTCTGGTGATAACATTAATTTAAAAATGCACACACCCTTTGAACTGCCTATTTCACTACTAGACATATACTCCAGATGTATTTCCCAAGAAAAATCTCAACGAAGCAGATTGTGAAACATGATTTGCAATTGTAAAAGATCTGATGCAACTTAATGCTTGGTCAGATTCATTAGGGTATATCTAAACACAATAATATTATGTAACTTTTTCTTTTTTTAGCAATGGTAGGAATGCATTTCTCATATATATATATATATATATATATATATATATATATATATATATATATAGTGACCCTAGCTTCATAAATTGTGTTTTACATAATCAACAAAAAACACACCTTAAACTTTAAGTAATAATGAATGATTTCCAAAATAATTAGGAAGGGCAGCAGAATTGTATCTTCCAGACTAATAATGATCACAATTCTAATTTTTCCCTTCAGTACATGAAAATACAAAGTGTCTGTTAATAATGTTTAAAAACACTTAAAATGAGTATTGAAAATATTATTATTATTTAGGTTATTAAATTATTTAAATCATCCTGAGAACGAAAAGACCTGCATCATGTTAAAAGTACACCCTGATAGAGAAGTGGGCATAGTTTTATAAAAGGAGGCACTTTTAGAAATTGATATGAAATTGTCTGTACATTTTTAGATTAAAAAAGAAAAAAGTATCTCAAATCAAATATGTACAATATCCAACTATGCAAAAAGTTAAAAGAACTATTAGTTATCCACACATAAACCCACAGAAGATCTTTGAAGGACACATAAGAAACTCATCACTGGCATTGTTTCTGGGGAGGATAAAGAGTCAGTGTTTTCATTGCTCCTTTTTTTTTTTTTAAACATGTTCAGTTTGCTTAAAAAATAAAAATAAAAACAGGACCGGAAATGGGGCTTAGTAGGGAATAGGGCTTAGTAGTAGGGTGCTTTGCACAGCTCACATGAAGCCCTGGGTTTAATTCCTCAGTACCACATACACAGAAAAAGATGGCATGACGCTGTGGCTCAAGCAATAGAGCACTAGCCTTGAGCAAAAGAAGCTCAGGGACAGTGCTCAGGCCCTGCGTTCAAGCCCTAGGACTGGCAATAAATAAATAAATAAATAGTAAAAAGTAAAACAAAGTACATATATTATCTAAATAAAAAATGCAAATAGTGCTCAACATCAATAATCAGTAAGGAAATGCAAATCAAAACCACAAGAGAATACTTCGTATCCATTAGAACACTTACTACTAAAACAACAAAAATAACAACAAAACAGAAAACAATCCACTATTGGCAAGAATGCGTGGAAGTCAGAACTCTTGTGTAGTATCCAACCTTAAAAAGGAAGGAAATTCTCCCACGTGACAACATGTATCAATTATGAGAGAATTATGGAAAGTGAATAAGCCATTTGTGAAAGGACCAATGCTGTATGGTTCCACCTACACAGGGTACCTAGATTAGTCAAACTCGTCCAGCAGAGAGAAAGTAGAACAGTGACTGCCAGAGGTTGAGGCACAGTGGAGAATGGGTAGTTATTT